GCTAGAGCAATATATTTCTAATCTATCCCTCTTATTTCCTATTAAGTCAATCTAGAACTAATTAAGTTGGCTAAAATTTTCTTAAAAAAAAAGAAAAATATCATTAATTCCAATTGCTTTTGTGTTAAATATTTGCACTTAAATGCACCTTTTTCTTAATCGCCACTTGTTCAGTTCAACATTTTACTTAATATTTGCTTCCCCAATTAGCATAAATATGTCTCGCCATCAGCGTCATCATCATCGTCGGCTCCATCAACATTACCATCAACATTGATATCTACGGCAATATCATTCCTTTATTGTCTGTTATACCCTTGCCAATTTACTTTCCGTCACTCGTCTTAGTCAGTTCGGTAATATTTCTTAAAATGCTAATTTTTAATTTTTTTCGTTTGCTATCTCATTTTTTTCCTTATAGCAGTTTCTCTGATATTGTTTTCTTCCCACTTTCTGTTGCTTTTTGTTAGTCTCTTTCTTCCTTGAAACTTCTTAACTTGCTTACCAATTGCGCTACTGGTTTTACCCACTTCCCTGCCTCGTTTTTGTTGTTAGTGCCTTGCTTCTAATTAGGGTTGCAATTTACTTTTTTAGGGTTGCCTGTGTTTCATTAAAGTTAATCATTTTAAATTTGTGCCTTTGTGCCGCATTTTTATTTTTAATTTTTTTATTTCTGCTCCTTTTTTCTTTCGCTTATAATCTTTCCCTCATTGCTTTGACAGTAAAGTTGCAATTTCGCTACTTAAGCGTAAATTAAATTTTCTTAAAATTTTTTGCATAATTTAACATTAACGACTTTTTTCTTGTTCGTCAATTACTTAAAGAATTTAAAATTCATTGAGCATTTTATTATTTTGGGAATGAGTTGGATGTAATAAAATTATGTTTTCTGCCTATTTTGAATAATTCTTATCGTAAATTTTGTGGGAAATTATTTTTATGTATTAAATAATCCTTAAAAATATGAAAAGACTTTTCCTGTCGGATAACTTCAAGATTTTTTCACAAATAACTTCTATAAATGTTATATCTGAAGTCGAGTTGATTTATATGAGGTCATCTTACTAACTAAGAGTCGACCTTACTCTCCGTCTCTAAAGAAATAAAAGAGTGAATCAAAAATAGCAATATTATTGTTGTGGTCGAACGGCTCAGAATTGACACGAACTGTTCTTTTTGTCTATCAGTGGTATATTGCCTCATTCATTCTCGTCAAATTTACGCGATAATGTTTGTCGAAAATCAAACTTAACAAAGTAGAGTTGCAATGTCAAATATTTCTTATATGTTATAATATGATTATAATATGGAAATACTTATACGCTTATACGACACTATATACCATACTAGATACTGTATACTGTAGTAGTATACCCCATGCTCAAAAAGTACTCGGATTTTGAAAATAAAACACAGAAACTTAAATTTTATTCCAAATTTATTTTATTTGCTTCAAAATATGCTCCTTCTGAAGCAATACACACATGCCAACGCTTAACCCAAACTTCCATACACTTTCCGTAGGCCCGTGAAGGTATGGCTTTTAGTTCTTTCAGCGAATTCTCTTTTACCGATTCAATCGACTCAAAACGCTTACCACGAAAAGGCGATTTGAGTTTCGGGAACAGGAGGTTTTCGTAAGATCCCTGTAAGAACGACCGGAATAGCGTTTGTAAGATTTTATCGATTCTGGCACAAAAGTCTTTCAAAAAGATTTTGTCATTTGTAATTCGTGGTAAAAAGCTGTTAAACAGGTTCAGAAGTTATTTTTTACTGAAAGGCTATAATAATGGTGACTTAACGTATTAAAATATGACCAATCTATATTTTCACAATACAAATAACGACACAAACCAATATCTCAGTACAATTTATGAAACGAAGCAAGTGGAAGATCTTTGTTGTACTGTGTTCCTTGTGCGAAAGGATTCATTTAAGCCATAAGAAGTCTATCTATGCTGGACCAGATAAAGTAATATGATGTCGTTTTATCGCTTGAATAATTCGGTCAAAATCTATAGTAACTATATTAATGATATCTGATTAGTACTTTTGGAAGAAATATTCCAAAGAAGATAAAATCATTGTGGCGACTTCTCAATTAGAAATGTAAGCAGATATATCCTCGTGTTCTCTGATGTACAACTATTGCAGTAATCATGTCAATCAATAAATGGTAGTTTGACATACTACTGATATTTAATCAATCTTAACAGTTTAGAAGGACTTACATTTGTTATAATCACATTAAAGGAGATTAATTTTATCGAAAATATGATGACAATTTTGGTCAATTTATTAATCACAATATACGCATTTTAGATTATCTAATAAGCAGGTTTTAAACTTGTTCCAAAATACACATTTCAAGAAAAACATTGTTTTTGTAGAAACATCAAATAGGACTTGATGGCTACCCATCAAGTTTGTGAATTTTAATTTCACAAACTCATTTTATTTCAAGAAGAGCTCTAATTTAAGTTTATGGATTAATCCACAACCGTTCTACTTACTAACTGATTTACAGCAATTCTTGTGTGAATAAACAGCTTCATTTGAATTGATTGCGCATCTAGTCTAGTTTCTTTCTCTCGGCAATGTATAGTGGCATAACCATTATTGAGAAGAGAAGACCTATAATTCATGCGAAACATCGGTCAATATTGATCACCGATCCATTACAGATAAAGTGAAGTCTGTTTACATCAATTCAAGCAGTGCATGAAAGTTAACTAATATAACAGATCTATTGCACTGGAGTTGTACGTTTATCTTCCGTCACCATGTTAACAGCAGTTTTTCCGATCATGTTTTAGAGGTTGGGTCATAAAAAAATTTTCACTAAGACCATCAAATTGGTTTAAATAGGTTTAAGGGCTAGTCTGCAGCAGACTCCAAGTTGCGTTGCTCTAAAGCTCTTGCTTTACGATTTCTCCGTCTTAATGATTTGTTATTTAGTTCCTTCTTTGATGTAGTAGTTAAATAAGTGAGTAAGTGAAATTTTATACTGGAGGGTTGCCTACACTGCGCTATAAAGAGGTTATGAAGGGTGTTACCATTTTTGAGGATATTTAAAGGTACTGTACCCATGCTAATCTTTCATATTATGAAATTTTTTTTAGTACGTCATTTGTGATTAAGTTTCAAGATCAATGTTAAATGATCAGTTACTTTGTTCTCTTTTAATAAAAACTTTTGGAGTTCTTTGGTATTTAAAATTTTAAAATAATCTTGTTTCTTGAGGATTCAGAAGTTAAGATACTAGAATAGTACGTATTTGATATTCTGAAATATGGCTGACATATGCGATAAAAATGCGAATGTTTGTGATAATTATTATTTGCTAAGTAATTGTGAAGTTGAAAGTGTTTTGAGAATTGCTTTTAATGGGAGAAATAGGAATTGGAAGCAGCTTGGGTGTAACAACTTCTTATTTGGACCGTTTATTTTCTTTCGTGCAAATCAAATGGACTAATTGGAACTTGGCTTATTGAGTAGGATACACTAGATTCTAAATAAACATATTTCATGATTTTCACTTATATTTCAATAATTAACTTATTGTGCTGTAGATATCTTTAAAGTACAGATAACAATGAAAATATGTTTATGTGTAAGTATCTGACAAGTTTTACTTTTTATAGTAAATTAAAAGCATTAAAAATTTGAAGTTGGGGTAAAATTTCTTTAAAGCTGCAGGTACCCGAGGTATCATTGTATATGCACTGCCAACTGCTTACTCTATTTTACCGATATTAGTTGAAAACATATTGACATTTTGTTAGTATATGTAGGCTTGAAAAATACGAAAACGGCTTCAAAACTGAAATCCGCTTGACCAAAAGAGCATTCAGTAGCTTTTTGTTAATTTCTTCTTTAAAAATAGCAAGTTATGTTGAGCCTTTCCGAGTTAATGCATCTGGGCACTTTTACTTTATGATGGGTGGGAGGTTTCTGCAGAGTCCCATCCATATCACTGACTAATTTGAGTATTTCTCATAATCTTCGTGATTATTCAATGATTGATCTAAGATCTGCGTACCGCCCCGTGTGGTGAATAATTACTCTGAGATTAGATAGTGGTAAGTAGGGCATCCTGTCGGTTTTCGCATATAGCTTCAGAGCTCTGTCCCTTATGTATTTTTTGACTCTATCTATTCTAAGGTCTCTTAGCATGTCATACGTGTGGATGTACCGTAACACTTTAAAGAACCTTTGGAGAGCCTGACTTTGAGCAACTTGTAGCTTTTTGAGAGTAGAGTCAGCAGCTTTGCTATACCCGATACACCCTTAAAGTAGTCTAATTATCTCGCTATAGATCAGCTTTCCATTCTTCGCGCTGAGGTTGTTTTTGAAAGCAGTGCAGTAAGCAATGCAGTGTTTTTGCGCAACTACTTCTTTTGACTTGTATGTGCTAGTTCCAAGTGAACCGCTTATCAAACTTGATTCCTAAGTATTTACTGTTGTCCTCTCAATTAATCGCCATGTTACCAACTTTCACTCTCGGTTGATGTTGCCTGTATTTACGAGTAATAAATAGGGGTTTAGTTTTCTCATTGTTAATTTTTATTCTCCAATTCTGGAAGAACTCCAGGATGAAATTAACATGCTCCTGCAGCGTGTTGGCCACATTTCAAACAAGTGTCCACTGTGTATGAGGTTAGCACCGAGGGACTTAGCATTAGGATGTCAGACGTGAAGATGTTGTACAACAAGGGGGAGAGTGGAGATCCTTGAGGAACACCGGCTTTTATTCTTCGCACTGATGAGATGGTACTGTTGATTCTTACACAAAACAACTTCTCGCGCAGGAAGCTGCCGAGAATTTTGATTAGCCCGACTGGGATACCAAAACGAGATATTTTAACTATCAGGCCGTCGTGCCAGACTATGTCAAATGCCAAATAGCAAGTAACAAGATTAGCTTTTGACATATTTGTCCTTTTATTTTATTCTTATCGAAAACGTAAAAATGTTGCTTTGGCAGGAAAACAATTATTCGATGTGTATGAAAAGGTATATTGACAGAATGCCACTGCTAAAATGGCCTTGCATCAATTCGATCCAGTAATTTCGATAAAAATGGATCACATTCTCGAAGGTTAGTTAAATCATATGAAGACATAATAAAGGAATTAATTGATGCAAATCGGTGGACAACAATTCGGGAGATCACTCAAGATTGAATTTATCGTAGTTTATCCCTTATACTTATATAAAGGCATATAGGTTTCTAATGTTCTTACGGAAAAAAAACTTATTCCTTCACGTTGACATTAATGATTTGGAATGTCAAAGAAAATATTCTATCTTTGAAAAATATTAATATTGTGAACGAAAATTGTTAAATGCAAAATATTATGCAGTAAAAAAAATAAATCGGCTAAAAATATTTTAAAAACCGGTATTCATAAGAAAAGGTGTTGATATCTTTTTGGAGAGATCTCAAAAAAAGTGATTTTTGTTTTCATTTTTATCGCATAAACGATCTAAAGTGTACTGTCAACAACTGGAAAAATTAAATGTGCTCCTGAACAGGAATGTCCGGAACTAATTAAGAGAAAAGATCAAATTTCTACTAAGATAATTGGTGACTCCATATATAAGATTACATATACACATATACATAATATACATATATAATACCACACTAATATGAGATAAGTAACTTGTCAGAAGCTTTGACAGCTTGGATCTCGATTCTCCAGATCTCGATCTTCTTATTATTATTTATTCGGGTCTATGCAAAATTTTTTGGATGGTAAAACGTTTGCTTCAATAAATATTTAATGTATTTAATATAATAAAATCACTGTTTTTTTCATAAAAAAATATAATTCATTTTCTAACATGCGCATATTTTAGAAGGAACTAAGTTTGTTGCTTAATATTTTTAATTCTAGAAAATTGTTCTTAGATAATCTTCATATATGAACAAAACTAAGGGAACCTTGAGAATTACCTATTAGCTTATCTTCTACTTTAATTAATTAGAATTTAATTGGTGTCAGAAAGTAAGACTTCATGAATGCAATATGAATAAATAACCACCTGTTTTCACTAATTTTTTGGTGAATTGATGACTCTGAATATGTGCAGTTTTGAAAAGCCTGTTGCTATAATACACATATATAAATCTTTGTAATATAATTTTGCGAGCTCTCTGGAAAGAACTACATTCCACGCAAATTTGATTTGCTTGATGATGCTTTTTTTCATCATTGGCACTACAACTAAATTTTAGAATTGATATAAAGTTGGATTTGAAAGGTGTCTAAGAATTTGATGTGTAATAGATATAGTTTATATTATTTCATGTGTTAATATAGTCGATTTGTATCGGTTACTCACCTGTTTGCTTTTCAGCTGCCTTTAATGTGTAACCCTCGATTAGCACTGCTTCGCTACGTCCACGTAAATTCACTGCATATATGAAAATCTTAAAAAATCGTCCAGAATCCAGTCCTGCTACTGTAAACATTGGGTACTTAGAAGTAATATTGGCCTGCATCATGCCATTGTGTTGATCAAACAATTCCATTTGAAACCACTGACGTAAGCCACCATCAAAGCCTATTTGCGAACGTAGTCCAAATTGCAAAAGCCAAGCCGAAATCATAGAATGAAAGAAATTGTAAAGAATTAATAAACAAAGGAAAATGAACAGGCCGAGTAGAGAGAAGCCACTTGAATGTGGTCAACAATTTAGTTAAATTGAAAAATAATGAAGCTGAAAAAATGTAAGACACTGAAGCAGTCAGTTTCGAATTCCATTAATTTTAATATTATTTTTTCTTATTTAATTTCTTTTTTTTTTTTTTTGGTTTAATATTTCCCTCTTAATAAACAAATAATAAGAAATTTTATGATAAGTGGCATTGAGTTGTGGACACGCTTCTCTAACACAATAGTGTCGAACTGTAGGAACAATAGTATTATTTTTAGAATTATAGTGGGAAGTGTATTTGCGAGGAGCATCGGAGGTTAGAAGTTCAAAAGAAACGTTTTTAAGTCAACAGTTTCGGTGCCTATTTTACGCGAAGTTAATTTTCAAAAGTAGAGCAATTGACTTGATGGGCAAATACAATAGTCTGCATTGGTTTGACGTTTTACTTTAGGACTTTAGGACTTCTAGTCTTCAAGTGTATGAAACGAAAAGAAAATTTTAATTATTTTTCTTCATTTTCTCCCTCAATTTAGCAGTTATGCACAATTATTATTAATATTTATATTGAAGTGGTTTGTCCACATTTTCTTTAAATGTCGGAGCAAAAAAATGATAGTAAATATTTGAACAAATATAAATTATATTAGAAATTATTTGATTTTTTGAAATAGAAAATAAAAAACAAATGCTTTATTTTTATTTTAATTTAAATTTGACATTTCAATGAGGTTGTGCAAATAAAAATGAAATCAATTTATTATTAAAAATACAAATAAATACGAACAAAAATAATTGTTGAAAAAATTGTTTATAAAAAAAAATAAAAATGCTTGAATTTTAATTAAATTTATTTTTTAATTTTGAATTTATTCCATCGAAATATTAACTTGGATGCTTTATATTTGTGCAAGTTGATTTATGCTTTTACATCGCATATACGAGTATTGTTACATACACAATATAACAGTATCTAACATATATATGTATATAAACATTTATTTGGTTTTCAAACTTTCTATATTCTCTATGAAAGCATATATAAATAAATATTTATTAGCATTTAAGCGCGTGTCCTTTTATGTTTGTAATAGAATTTTCATTTTGAATTATGTTAAAATCAATTCCATTTGTGAACACTCATACGCACTGGCGTCCTGGCAAATTAATATTTTTCTCTAACGAGAAATTTCGTTATTGAAATCATGTACAAAAACACACATTTAATCAATTTTTGAAAGCAACTGGCAACTGATTTAATTAAATATTTGTTTGTTATATGTTAATAATAAACTTGTAGGTGTGTATTTACACATGTTAATAGAATTCTTTTGTATTAAACTTAGTATTAATGTTTCACATGTGATAATTTTTTGATTTTAGGAAGTTATTGTTTACCAAAATGTGCATATTTTATATAGATACGTCTGCCTTAACATTCAATTTAATATAAATAGAAGAAATATAAAAAATTTAGATGGAGAATTGTATATGAATAAATTTTCCAAGAAATAACTTACTGAAAATATAAACTGTTTCATACTTTGAAAGGAATACCTCACTAATTATTAAATTAAGAGATGAAGTTCAAGATCCCACCACATAAAGCACCTCTGAGTGAGCTATATTACTGGCTTATTTTTCTATTGGCAAATATTAGCCATAAAATACTTTGATATGCCAAACTTAATTTTTCCACAAAATACTTATTTAAAACAATTTTTTAATTATTTCTTATATTCGTTATTAGATTAAATATTTTGTAATTGTTTATTATATATACCTTCTGCTCAAAAAGTACTCGGATTTTGTAAATAAAACACAAATTTAAATTTTATTGCAAATTTATTTGATCTCCTTCAAAATATGCTCCTCCTGAAGCGATACACACATGCCAATGCTTAATCCAATCTTCCGTACACTTTTCGTAGGCCAGTGCAGGTATGGCTTTTAGTTCCTTCAGCGAATTCTCTTTTACCTATTCAATCGACTCAAAACGCTTACCACGTACCACGAAGGGGCAATTTGAGATTCGGGAACAGGAAAAAGTCGCCCGGTTCCAGATCTGGTGAATATGGTTCTTGAGCGATGACAGTGGTGCCATGTTTGGTCAAAAAATCGCGTACAACGACAATTTTCCATAGTAAAAATCGTTGAATGCACTTAAGGTAGTTTCACATTAACAGCTGCTGTAAACAAACTAATTGACAGATGGCGCTCAAACTTGTACCATATGTCAACATAACAAAAAAAATTTTTGGAAAAGGTCTATTACTTAAGGAGTAGTTAACAAATAACAAAATCCGCATACTTTTTGAGCAGAAGGTAAACATTACAATTATAAGCATGCAGTCTTGTAAACAGGCTTACAGTCTTGTCCCACATGAGTCAGATTTTGAGTACATGAAGTTAATACATCATGAAATATGATAAACTATAAGACAATCGTTGAAAATGCAAGCAGTTTTTAAAATTTTTAATAACAAAAAACTAAACAATATTGCAGACACAAGCATGCCTCAATATGGACAACCTGTAGCAAATTAGGCGATATTGAGTTACAAAAGTTTTGAGTTACACAACAAAATTGACATACTTTGTTCCTGTACGACCAATGCTGACCTGTACATAAACCATAAAAAAAAAGTCATGTACAGCGGTTACACTATCCAGGATCCTCCATCCATCAGAATTGGCAATGAAGCAAAATCATTTACATATTTGAGCAGCATCATCACAGATAAAGATGATGCGGAAGACATCTCGGCTCGACTGAGTAAAACCAAATCAACGTTTTATTACGGCTCCTATTCAACTGTACATCCCAGTATTTATAAACAAATGCTGAAGAAGAATACTGAGAATATGGTGACCGGAGCGCATATCCAATACTGAATTTGAATGGAGAGGAAAGCACGGTTCCACGCTGTTCATTGACCACTGATATTTTTTTTGAGAACATTCTGGTCTGCGTGTGAAAAATGCTAGTCCATCGTAAGTAGATAGTTTTAGAGTAGAGCTATATATGAGGTATATGACATTTTTTTCTTTCAATGCTATACTGATGCATTTGTTGGCTGTTTTTTTTTTGAAGACATTCTGGTCTGCGTGTGAAAAATGCTAGTCCATCGTAAGTAGATAGTTTTGGAGTAGAGGTAAATATGAGGTATATGACATTTTTTTCTTTCAATGCTATGCTGATGCATTTGTTGGTTGCCTCGTAATGTATTTAGGGAACAGCGACATTCCTGGCAATTATCAGGTCGATATGTGTATTAGATGTTGAAGATACACAATTAAACACGATTTAAGAATATGTTAAAATGCAAAAACAAAGTTGGTATGAAAAACACTGATGACAAATTACTTAAAATATATAATACTTCCGAACTTTAATCACATATAAATAGTGAAGGAGATTGGTTATGATAGCTTCTCATTGTCCATAACAATTGCTCTACTACCGGCATATTGCGCAGTATAAAGAATCGTGTACCAGATATTAGCTTCGTTTAACAACTACAATTTGAAGTTGTAGATTAGAATGTTACTCATCGTCTTTATAATTGCCCAACATTCTTTAGACTACGTGTGTTTATTCGAGGAAACCACTTTATTAAATATCTGCTCTATATCCACAATGTGTGTGTCTAAGAAATTACTCCGTACGAAATTAAAGTATATATGAAAGATTTGAATAAAATGCCTTTAGTATGAAAGCTTATATTCAAAATAAAACACCACAACTTTTCGTAAGGGCTAACTAAGCCTTAATAACCTCCATGATATAGACTAGTATCTACATTTTTCATTCTATTTTTCGATTTTTATTCTATAATAATTTACTAGCGGGCTAATAGGTCATTTAAATAGTAATAAAAATACTATAATTTATTATTTATATTTATTTATATTTAAAAAAAATTCATATTTTAGTAAAATATTTTTCCGATATGTCGACGATCTTCGATAGTCATCTTTAGGAATATTTCCCTATTTTTTTATTTTCTAGCTAAAAATTAATTAGAAATTATGTTTCAAAATTAAATGATATGAAGTTATTGAAGAATTTAATTACAAACTATAGTAAAACTCATTGCTTTTTTTAATTCATTCATCGCAACAACTTAATTTCATAGATCTTGATAAAGTTCAGACAGATTATACCGAGTTCAATTTTAGTAACTGATTAAAGTTGCAGTAAAATCGTAAAATAAACATAGAAATGGAATTAAATTTTCTGCACTTAAGCTCCATAAACTTTAGAAAGCATTTTCTGTATTCATTAAACTTTGTGGCATTAAAAAAAACTCGACATACTTCGCCACTAAACTGCGTTACATTGCAAATATTTTTCATCAGCATAAAAATCAGCTAAAAACTTATATAAACTGCTGGTTTTTTTTCAATTAAAGTTTCGGAGTACGGAGTATTTTTTATAATTAAAGATCTGGTATTAAGCAAAAGTTTACAATGTTTTTGTTGCATTAAGTGTTGGCAAGCTCAGAACCTTAACAGTGCAGCCGTGCGGCAGTAAATGCTGCTTGTTGCATTATTATGCTAGTCATCAGCATCATCATTAAAAGTTTCATTGAAATTGTTGCGGATATTTTTTTCTCGGTTTTGCAGTGCTTATTTTTGGCATGAAATTAAAAAACTAAAGTACCTTAACAAAATATAAAGACGCGTAAAAGTAACTAAAAGGAAAAAGCAAAAAAAAGGACAGAAGCAATAATAAAGCACAAACTCTTTTGCCGGAGCATACAAGTGAAGTTCTGCCCTCAGCTCATCAAGTGGGTTAATAAAATTAAATTTCATATTATAACTTTTTGTTACTTTCGGCAGTTTTGTTAAATGTAAAGTAAATAAAATTAAGTTATTATTATGCGTAAAAAATTCATTAGGCAAATATTCTACAAACCGTAACATTTTAACTGTGGCGAGTGATTTAAGCTCGAAGAAAAAATTTTTGGATATAAAGAAAATCGAAAATAACTATAAACTAAATATATTTCTCCTGCTCAGTCTCTTTTTTCTTCTCTCGTAGTTTAATATCGAAAGAATTCACTTGCAAAATTTAAAGCATATTTACAGGGTCAAAAAAAAAATATAATTGCATATATAAGTTTTACAGTCACTGTAAACATCCGCAAATGTTTTTGTTCTAATTTTTCGATATTTTTAGTTTAAAATAAACTTTTTTATTAGTTCCTTCTAGTTCTTAAAGATAAGTATGTCAATTAGTTTAAAATAAGGAAATTATTTTGTATTGCATATTTAAGTGCATAATTTAAAAGCCTCCCTCATTGACCTAAGAGTAACTGAAAGCTCAATCCATATTTAAATCTTTCAAAAAAACATAATCAATCGAGATTGAATGAAAGCAATTTCCTCTTATATAAATAACAAATAAACAGACGACTATATCCACACAAAAAAAGATATCTCAAGAAACTTAAATCCTTTTTTTTGCCTATAAAGAGTCTGAATATTTAAGCTACAATTTTTAGCAGTAAACGAACGAATTTTGCAATTCTCAGTCATGCTTTGCTGCTTCTGCAATTCTGCTGTTCTGCTGTTGGCTTCACAAACAACAATCAATTCACTTCAACTTCAATGCAACATCTTTGCTGTCTTATTTAAAATACATGAGCAACTTGAGTGCACTTTCGCAATATGAACACGTGCTGTCATCTGTACACTGCATGCATATCTGCATCATGCCAAACTTCCAAATATGTTTTCTGTAAAACCGGAGACAGGCATGCAGACAAGTTGTTGCAATACGTAAAGTCAAATCTGATATACACGCTGCAACTTTTCGATTACATCAGCTATGAGAAAATTTTAAAAAATAAATCCTTAAGAGGTGAAAATAGCAAACGAAATAAATTTCAACGTGAATAATGCAAAAGCATCGAAGAGCTGAGCAAAGCATCAGCATTTATTCAGTAGAAAGTGTAGTCGTAGCACTGCAGCAAATGCAACAAATGCAGCAACTAAAACTGATTTCCAAACACTAAAAACTGCATAATAAAATAAGTAATGAAGGCATCAAAATTTGTACTGTCAAATTGCTAGCAACTAAAAGAAAATCGTTTAAGTTGAAGTTGAAATTTAATTCGCATATTCTTTCGAATAACGAAATATGGAATTATGGAAGAGAGTGCGTTGCTCCGATAAGTAGGCGAAGAATGGATATGAAAGGGGCTTGATAACATGGATTTATGTCTGCATATTTGAGAGATTATATGTTGTTTTAATATTTTTATTTCGAACTGGAGTTCATGATCAATTTTGGTAAGAACTTCAGTTAGGAAAAACTTAACTAAATCAAAACAAAAGCTATAAGTTTTATAAATTTAACTCATATATTTAGTTATAATCGTTTTTGAATTTACTTTTAGATTAGTATTTTAATAAATATATAAACATATATGTTCTTTCTTCACCATAGCAACATAGCTAGTTGAAGACTGCAGCTGAGACACTAATCTGCATAAATGCCATATATCACTATTTACTTAAAACATTTACTTTTAGTTTAGAAATTTTCAATTTATTAATAAATCGAATAATGTGTCAAATTTTCATTAGTCGAATTTGGATGACCACTTTCAGTTTAAAGAATTTTTTTAAAAATTGTCTTAACATAATATTTCTTTTTAAAGTAAAATATCAGTACACAAATCATTGAAAGTAGTCTTAAAGATTAGATATTTGATATGATTTGATATTTTCCTAGTTAGATTTCTAAAAATAATTTCCATTAGAAATCATTAAGAAAATCATTGAATCTCTTTCTTCTAACCAATCCAAACAATTGGACGAACTTCTTAATACGTTTCAGTAGTCATCATTTTAACACTCATTGCGAAGTGGATATAAATAACGCAGTATCCATACTAAACAAATGTTTAGGAAAACACTTCTTTGAAAGTCCATCGTCCTTATCGATATTTATTCCATTTCTTTTATATCACTGTGCAATCCAACTTATAAAACGCTGTTGGAACGTTATAGTCTTGAAATTTATCTGATATTTCTTTTAAGTTAAGGAATAAAATAAAATAATGTTATAGAGGGTCATATTTGGGGAATACGATGGTTATGTTACCAGACTGAACTCATTTTTTTGTCATGATTAAATAAATGTTGAAAAGAATTCGCTGTCTGCCTTGAAAATCAAAACGGACTTGTTATAAATTTTCTTTTCTACATAATCAAATTTAGGCTGAGAATGAAGTACTTTTATTGAAATGTAAAAAGATCAATTAAAGCTCCTTACAAGAATGAGCAATCTGCGATGGATGGGTAGAGCAACTTTTATCTTATCAGTGTAATCGGAAAAACCTACCATGATTTCATGAAATCAATTCTTGTAGAAGCGATACATAATCTTAAGTCGACCGTTAACAGATAATAATTCTAAGATTGCTTACTTCTTGTTAATCCAGAACAATTAAAAAATGTCATAACTTTTTCATCAATTGACATCAAACTCAATTTATTAATTAATGAATAATTAAAGTTTAAATTTTTATTGGAGGAAGAAAACTTTATTTGTAGTTAAAAATTTCGAAAGCAATCATTTGGTGGGAGCATATTTCCGAAAATGCCCATGGTCATTTGTACAGACATTAATATAGCTCAACTTCAAGCGAACAATTTTCCACCCAACAGCTGCTAACATTCGTTAACAAAAATATCAATTCATTCTCAAGCACAACAAACGGAAACGGAAGTGTCAGTGAAAATGTCAATCAACACTGTGTGATTTTTATGGAAAGACGAGAAAGTAAGCTTTAGGTCAACTCATTGTTGTGGAATACGTATTGTATTGAAACCCTGAAAAAGGTAGTAAAAGCACGAATTCCACAGAATTCAAAAGCGATCTTTGCGTGCCATACTACACTAAAATAGTATGTAAAATAATGCAATATTTTGCATAAATATAATACACTTATTATACGTCTGTATGTATAAGTGTACATCCTTTTTATAGAAATATCCCTATTTATATGGCTCTTTTATCAATACCCAGTAGGTTGATTTTTATGCCATTGCCGCTGCCATTACGCTTTCTATTTATATTTATCATATTGCTTTCAGTGCAATGATTCGTGTATTTGGGGCTCTTATTTGAAAACATATCATGAATTTGTTTTTGTTTTCTGTATGTCGAATAAAATATTTCATTTTTATGTAGCAGAGCTTATGAATCCACTTACCTTCAATACAATAGACTTCAAGTGAATCTGACGTCTGATTGAACACCGTACAGTTGGCAGGAATTTCAGGTTTGCCCGCTGCTATTAAATGAAACACGCAAGGTTCCTTTTGCTGTCCAACATTGTTATCCGCCCAACACATTATAGTGCCATAGTCCATTTCCTGCGGATGTTTACCAAGTTAGTTGTGTATAATAAATTTCATATGGTGTCATTTATGAAAAGAAAAAATCACTAAAATACTCGTTCATGGGAAAAAAATAAAATAAAAATGAAAATAATGTTTAAGTTGTGCTTAAGGACATGTTTCAAAGTTTTAGAATAATAAAAATATTAGTTTATGTACTGTAATATCAATAGAAACAATTATATATTAGATTTATATATAATCGAGTTTTTACAATGAGTGGGCAGTCCGAATAGTGAATCGCTTAAAAGTATTGTTAAATATGCACTGACAATTCACTAAAAAAAGCTTATAGTCTATTTTTCTGCTTTAAATGAAGATTTCAGCACTTTTAGCTCAAAAGATGACTGATGACTTTTAAAATATATTACATTATTGCATAAGTAGCTTTACACTTAAGGTATGTTAGGTTATACCGACGATCCTTAGGAGATCTTTTGGCTTATTTTGTTACCATATACAGAAGAAACTCAGATTTTGAAATTAGCTATAACATTTGGCAAAGCTCAGAATGCTGTTTAGTGGAAGGTCTTGTAATTGGTCAAGAGCCTTAAGAAAGAGGGCTCTAAAGAGTTGAGTCGCCGCCCTGCATGGGTGGGCTAAAGACAGAGTACATAGATGAGACATACTGTCATCGTCCCCAAAGCTGCGACAAGTGTGATTGAAAGGGAGATTCAATCTTCTAGCATGGTTCCCTAGTCTGCAGTGATCTGTAAGTAAACCTGTTTAATGAATTCACAGTGGAAGAAAATAAGATGTGTCGGAAATTATATCTTCTTTAGCTTCAATTAAGAGTAGAGTTAGTCTGTTTATATCCTACATTAAATGTCATTATTAGACTTGTATGAACACAGTTTCATAAAATTATATAATACAATTTTCTTCAGAAAGAAAAACTTCTGGACATTTCTAAAAATATTAATTTATAAAAGCTGCTAAAACAATTAAAATCACATCCAAACTATAGTTAGTTAAGAAGTTATATATATATAACTGTACTAAGTTGAGAAAATTGATTTCAGGCCATTGTGTTACTAAATTTTTCAATTAGGAGTTTCATAATTGTGAGAACAATATATCAGGAGTATTTGATGTTTCTTTATGCTATACACTTATCAACAAAGAGAAACACGTTAAAATTTAGGAATTACTTATTAATCACTGTAGTTACAGATTAAGATTGCTAATTAATAATTCTATATGACAGTACGTGGACTGCCAGCTAAGAATAGGGTTGTTGAATCTAAGCCATACTATATAATACTGAATCGTCAAAATCAAAACTACACATTTTGTTTTAAAACTTCAATTCGTTAGATTTCTTTTAATTCCTTAATTTGTGAAGAGCATTAAAAAAGTTGGCAGGTTCATGATATTGGAAATGTATATCTTGGGTCTGTGTACCGTTACTAAAACATTGTCCGTCAGTAGACGTTTGATAGTTGTGCAGTACTTCAGCGACAGACCTAACACACTATACTATCGTCCAATTATAAAACGTGTGTACAAGACTTTTGTAATGTTGCTGCAACTTCTTTTTTTTTTCTTTTAAAAAATTATTTTACGTTCTGAATTAAGTATAATCTCCTGCCATTTTATAGGTCATAGTTCAATTTTATACATTTTGAAACCGATAAAATAAGAACTCGCCATTGCGCCAAAATATACTACGTTCTTTACTGATTTGATTTTCAACTAAAAATAATTAAATATGAATTAAATAAGAAGAATTAAATAAATATACTTATATAGAAAATTTAAACTTTTTCAGTACTTTTTTTCCTTGAATGTTAAACTTTACTAAGAAATCTGCATGTAAATACCTCATTAAACTTATATCTGTAATAGGTTATTGTGAGATTATTGAGGTAATTGTTATCCACATAGTACTCTGAATTATTTTTAAACCAACATAAGTCGTTATTAAAGTTCAAGAAAATCTTGGAGTGTCTTACGTCCTTCAGATTGTTTCAATAAAAATTTGTGTAGCTATTGGACTAACTCTTTAGTTCTATTTTATTTGAAATCAAATATTTGGTTTTGTCCTGTAGTTATTTTTTTCGCTTTTTTTAGTTAAAGGCAATTTAGTGAATACTCTCCATTACGATTCACTGATAATGGTATGTATCTAAGGAAATCATATTACATATTGCTATCCATGTGTTAATGTTTCCTTTTTCTTTTCAATCGTTTTCATGATTGGACAGTACTATCAACATTTCTATTGTGCTCTGTTCTTCAATTCCACTTAGGTGTTAGGAAAATATATAACATATTGTCAGTATTTATCAACTAAAATTTTGTGTAAATGCTGATTTGATCTAGATCTAAAATCGTGATCAACTTTTGTCGTGTGAATATGCGAATTTGTGATAAGGATGTGTATTTTCTCAAATTCTTTGATTATTAATTGAGCAATAAAGAGAATTAAAAGTTTTATTATTTTTTTTTTGTCAGTTATTGGTCTGAAGATTAATTACTAATATTAGTGCATATAGCTTTTCTTTAAAGAAAGTCACTTTTTAAATGTGAAAAAGTAAAATACCTTTTTTCAAAACTAAAATAATTTTATTTTTCACTTCATTATACAGGTTTTCTTTCTATTCTTCATTAAACTTAACTTAGTGATATTGCCAATGGCTGAAGTATAATTTACAGGTGATAACTAGATATTAGTTCAAACAGAATTTAACTTTTCGCTGATATAAAGTTCTTCATCATAACGTGAGATGTCGTTGGTTTTTGTATCGGAATCTGCAGGATACTTATCTAAATATGGTGGTCATATTTGGTCAGGATTATAAATCGATCTAACTTTTACGATTAAATATTTTACTTACGGCGTGCCCTCCGAGTTTTCCCTGTAGATGACTATCGAAGATAGTCAAAATATTGGAAGAATTATTTTTAATAAAGTATAAACGATTTTTAAATACAAATAATAATTTAGTGTCTTTTTTGTTTCTATTTCAATTTGACCAATTAGCCCGATAACAAATAATTATTAAATATTTTACTGTAACAGTTTTCAGATAAAAGGTGATACGGATTGTGATTGTGATACGGATTGCGATTAAATATTTTACTTACGGCGTGCCCTCCGAGTTTTCCCTGTAGATGACTATCGAAGATAGTCAAAATATTGGAAGAATTATTTTTAATAAAGTATAAACGATTTTTAAATACAAATAATAATTTAGTGTCTTTTTTGTTTCTATTTCAATTTGACCAATTAGCCCGATAACAAATAATTATTAAATATTTTACTGTAACAGTTTTCAGATAAAAGGTGATACGGATTGTGATTGTTCAAGTCCATAACTGAATTAATAACAATAAATATCTTTGCCTTAATGTTTATTTAAAGTAAATCATTTATATTTTAATAAATTTATAAAATTAAGTTTTTGTGCCTTTTCTATTTCTTCTGATCATCTATTTTTGGATAATTTTTCTTTAGTTTAAATAATAAAGAAATTTCCGTTAACTATTTTATTTTCTTCCAAATAAATTTATCCTTATATATAGAACCTTTTCTATTCTCATTCCTTTAACAAACTAAACTTAACACTAATCTTTGCACTTTAATGAAGCTTTAACTCTGTAATTCTTTTGCAATACACTCACTCACAGAAGTTTTGACAATGAAAACGTAACATTTTATTTATTTATAAATTCGCAATGAAAGACATTTATTTAATAGAAAATAAAAGCAAAAGCAACAGCAACGACAACAGCAACAACAACAATAACAACAAAAACAACGACCAGAAGCTCACAAAAAATCAGAAGAAAAAATAAAAAACAAAACCAAAAACTGTTACAAATACAGAAATTCAAAAAAGTAAATACACGGCACATATCGACTCACATAATGTGCAGAGTAGAGAAAGAAGCACAAGTAGAAAAAGACAGCAAAACATGTAAGGAAATTTTGCCATGTTAAAAGCAAAACAAACAAACAAACAAACAAACAAAAAAGCAAGTAAAACAAAAAAGGCAAAACAAAAATATAAACAAAATATAAAACAAAGTTTGCTGGTTCCCTCATTTGAGCAAATATTGAGTTAATAAATTGACGTTCTGTCTTTTTTTGATTGAATATTTTGTTGTTGTTGTTGTTGGCTTTTATGTGCATATTCTTCTTTAAAATAATTGTTTGTGTCGCTTGTTTTTGTTGTTGGTGTTGTTGTTGTTGTGTTCACTGGAACAACTTTCAGTGAATGTCTTTTAAAACGTTCTATTGCTTTGCATTTTTATTGAAATTGTTTTGGTTGCATTTTTCACATACATACACACTCGCATGTGTAGCTTGTGTACCAGACATATTATAACCTATAAACACAATTTTATTGTTGACAATTAATTGATAACAAAGCTTTGTTGGTTATTATGGTGACGTATTAAGTTGACAAAATTATACGTTTAAGAATATATTCAACAAACATAAAACTAATGTATTTTTTATTATTATGTTGAGGTTAGTTGGGTCAATGCACTTGATCACTTTTACTTTCTATTAATTGCGTGGTTTCTTCATAACCCCTCTCTACGCCTTGAGTGGATTATTGTTTATCACTTCATCAATAACTATGAAGACAACGATGATATTTTATAACGCAGTGTTGGTAAGCCTATCAGTTTTCGTGAATAATTTTAGAACTCTATCCTTTATGTATTTTTTGATCGGATTAATCTTGAGGTCCCTGAGGATGTCATTCGTCCTAATGTACCATCTTCTTAGAGTCTGGTTTTGAGCAATTTCTAGCTGG